AGCCGGGGCCCGCGGCCCGAGCTGGGCAGCGGCGGCGCTGAGGGGAGCGGACCTCCCCGCCGGGGCACCTCCGACGCCAGCATGCCGCGTCCGGGCCCCCGCCTGTGGCTGGTCCTGCAGGTGATGGGTTCGTGCGCCGCCATCAGCTCCATGGACATGGAGCGTCCGGGCGACGGCAAGTGCCAACCCATCGAGATCCCGATGTGCAAGGACATCGGCTACAACATGACCCGCATGCCCAACCTGATGGGCCACGAGAACCAGCGCGAGGCCGCCATCCAGCTGCACGAGTTCGCGCCGCTGGTGGAGTACGGCTGCCACGGCCACCTCCGCTTCTTCCTGTGCTCGCTGTACGCGCCCATGTGCACCGAGCAAGTCTCCACCCCCATCCCCGCCTGCCGGGTCATGTGCGAGCAGGCCCGGCTCAAGTGCTCCCCGATCATGGAGCAGTTCAACTTCAAGTGGCCCGACTCGCTGGACTGCAGCAAGCTCCCCAACAAGAACGACCCCAACTACCTGTGCATGGAGGCGCCCAACAACGGCTCGGACGAGCCCTCCCGGGGCTCGGGCCTGTTCCCGCCGCTCTTCCGGCCGCAGCGGCCGCACGGCGCGCAGGAGCACTCGCTCAGGGACGCGGGCCCGGGGCGCGCCAGCTGCGACAACCCGGGCAAGTTCCACCACGTGGAGAAGAGCGCGGCGTGCGCGCCGCTGTGCACGCCCGGCGTGGACGTGTACTGGAGCCGCGGCGACAAGCGCTTCGCGGTGGTCTGGCTGGCCGTGTGGGCTGTGCTGTGCTTCTTCTCCAGCGCCTTCACCGTGCTCACCTTCCTCATCGACCCGGCGCGCTTCAGGTACCCCGAGCGCCCCATCATCTTCCTCTCCATGTGCTACTGCGTCTACTCGGTGGGCTTCATCATCCGCCTCTTTGCCGGCGCCGAGAGCATCGCGTGCGACCGGGACAGCGGGCAGCTCTATGTCATCCAGGAGGGGCTGGAGAGCACGGGCTGCACCCTCGTCTTCCTCGTCCTCTACTACTTCGGGATGGCCAGCTCGCTCTGGTGGGTGATTCTCACGCTCACCTGGTTCCTGGCTGCCGGCAAGAAGTGGGGCCACGAGGCCATCGAGGCCAACAGCAGCTACTTCCACCTGGCGGCCTGGGCCATCCCGGCCGTGAAGACCATCCTGATCCTGGTGATGCGCAGGGTGGCGGGCGACGAGCTCACGGGCGTGTGCTATGTGGGCAGCATGGACGTGAACGCCCTCACCGGCTTCGTGCTCATCCCGCTGACCTGCTACCTCGTCATCGGCACTTCCTTCATCCTCTCCGGCTTCGTGGCGCTCTTCCACATCCGGAGGGTGATGAAGACGGGCGGGGAGAACACCGACAAACTGGAGAAGCTCATGGTGAGGATCGGAGTCTTCTCTGTGCTCTACACGGTGCCGGCCACCTGTGTGATCGCCTGCTACTTTTACGAGCGCCTCAACATGGAGTACTGGAAAATCCTAGCCACTCAGCACAAGTGCAAAATGAACAACCAGACCAAAACTCTGGACTGCCTGATGGCCGCGTCCATCCCGGCCGTGGAGATCTTCATGGTGAAGATCTTCATGCTGCTGGTGGTGGGCATCACCAGCGGGATGTGGATCTGGACGTCCAAAACCCTGCAGTCCTGGCAGAACGTTTGCAGCCGCAGGTTCAAGAGGAAGAGCAGGAGGAAACCCGCCAGTGTGATCACCAACAGTGGGATTTACAAAAAAGCCCAGCATCCCCAAAAAACCCATCTTGGAAAATATGAAATCCCTGCCCAGTCTCCCACCTGTGTGTGAACTGCCTTGGGGGTGGGGGGGCGTGCAGGGAGGGAAGGCCAGAGTGGAAAACTTTCCCAGACAGGATATGGTGGCAGTCAGAGCCAAAACGTGGTGCTTTTCCTGGTTGGCTGGTTGGGTTTTGTTTTTGTTTTTTGTTTTTTTAAATAAAAGTAAAAAAAAAGTTTTTACCCTGAAATTCAGGATGCTGTGATACACTGAAAGTAAAAATGTGTTTCCAGGTTACTTGTTTTGTTTTGTTTCCAGAAGGAGAGCTCCTCCCTTACTTAAGTAGCCTCTCGTGTAACTAATTTGTGGTCAAGTAGTTGATTCAGCCCCCAGAAGAAAACTTTTGTTTAGAAGCTTCCATAAATACATAGCCCTGTGTTTGAGTTGGCTTTGCTACCCATTTACAAGTCAGAGGAGAGGTAACTTCTTTGGACATTAAAGAACTTCTGCTGGGAGCATGGGGAGGGGGCGGGGAGAGGTAAAGTGGGTCTCCAGCGAGGAGCCATCCCTGGGGCCCACCCCCAGGAAGGCTGTGTGTGGGACAGCAGCTTCTGTGTAGACAGGGAGAAAGGGGAGCCCTGACGATTTAACACACTCCAGTGGATTTGGAGTCACTTAAAATAGACTCCAGCCTCTAGCCTTCACAAATGGGTCTTTCTCCAAGACAGAAACTTCCAAACCTAACATTTGCAAATGCAAACAATGTGCAATACATTTCTTCCCTCTCTCCCTGGAAATGAAAAGAGAAACAAGTATTTTGCTGTACATAAAGACAACAAAAGAAATCTCAACAAAAGCACAGAGGCCCAGCCCTCAGAAACCCTCTAGTGTTACATTTTGTGGCTTTTTAATGGAAACCAAGCCAATGTTATACACGTTTGGACTGATTTGTGGAAAGGAGGGGAGGAGGGGGAAAGGGGAGAAAGATCATTCAAAAGTATCCAAAGGGCTTATTGACTCTTTCTATTGTTAAACAAATGGTTTCCATGAATAGCTCAAGAAGCACTAGACAAGTCTAGTTGATTCTCCCCACCACCCCAGGGGAGAGCTGTTCTGCTTGTGTATATTTGTAATATATGATATTTTTCATGCTCCACTATTTTATTAAAAATAAAATATGTTCTTTAGTTTGGTGCTGGTCCCTTGTGCATTGTGAGGCTTCCCTTCCCTGAGTGTGGAGAGAGCAGAGCAAACTTTCTCCCCCTACCAGCTTTTCAAGCAAATCCTGAATGTGCATCTCTATCTAGAGATTACTGGTTATCCGTGTGAAACGGCAGATGGGTGGATGGCAAGGTTGGCAGAATAATTGAATTTCGAGTTTCAGTGGAATGACATGCAGGAAATGGGGAGGGCTGGAGATCGTTGCTATGACTCTTGGTGGCTGGATGTGAGGGCCTGGTTGTAGACACACTTTCTCGGGGAGCGCCTGGGCTTCTAAGTGTGGCTGAATCCCGGGGAGCCTGGACCAACCTCCGGTGATATCTCCAGGGAGCGTGGCCAGCCCAGTCAGAGTATTAAATCCGAGTAGACTTCGGTGGGTCTGCTGGGATCAAATCGTACCTAGACAGAGTTCTGTGCGTCAGTCCAGAATGTGCTGGTTTTGTGGCAAGTCCAGGACAAGTTTACAGAACAGATTATAGACCTGGACAGGATAAAATATCTGCTCAGGGTGGCAGGTCATTAAGGAGGTCTATCAGCTTTTTTTTTTTAAAGATTTTATTTATTTATTTGAGACAGAGAGAATGAGAGACAGAGAACTTGGTTCTTCTCCTGTGTCTGCTGCTGGAGCGGTAGAGACCTAAAGTGGGCCCAGGTTCAGCGGTCAGAGGCACAGCTGAACTCCAGTCCTAACACGAAGGATCCAAGGGCATGGTCCAGACATCCTGCCGTGGGAAATCAGCAGAATAAACCAAGCTCTCCGTGGGGTCGTGCTGATGTCAAGTTCCCAGTTGAACAAAGAGCCCTTAAGAATTTCGAACATGTATTAAGCACTTCCTAAGATGGACAGAAGCCTGGAGTCAGGGCAGCCTGTTTCCCAAAGAGGGTGTTTAGGAGCTAAGCCTGATGATCGTAGGACCACCCTCACATCAATATCAGAGCTGGGCAAAGGTACGGGTCGGTTTGTGGGGGCCACCTCACCTAGACGTGTATGGCCGTGGCCTGCCCGAGCAGGGACCCTGGGTGGTTTGGGATCAAGTTCAAGAAACACCAACTAGGTAGGCAAAGTAACTTAAAATAAAATCTAGAATAGCCTAAAGTGCATTAAAAAAAAAAAAAAAGGTTTAAAAAATGCCCACAAGCAAAAACCTATTTGTTGATCGATCCCACCCAGTCCCCCAAAAGACCACCTAGGGATATTGATGTATGGGTGTATGTATGTACATAATGCTTCCTTTGGGTGACTCAGGAAAAATAAAAATGACGTGTTTGGAACAGGGTTTTGCAGAGTCTAGAAAGATAACAGTATCAGCTGCTGTGAGCGTCAAAGCTGAGTGTGATTCCCCCAAGTGCTCAGTTGTCGACTTACTGGACTCGTCAGCCACCCAGTATGTGCCCGTGTGTGGGCTGCAGACCTCAGTCCCGGGGAGAACAGCGGGCCGACCTGCGGAAGCACCTCTGCTGTTTGTTGTCTGGAAGTGCTTCAGTGTGGACCCTCCCGCCAGACCACAGGGACCCTGTTCATAAATGTCAAAGGATTCTGCATACGGTCGGGCAGGTGCACCAGGGCACCGACTCTGCCAGTGATCCTCGCCCCTACTCGCCCCGGTTTCCAGTAGCCCCAGGAGGGATTTCTGAGCAAACTGCTCCTTGGGAGCCACACACTGACCCGGGGTCACATGCAGATAATTCGTGAATTTTAGGAGAAGCATCAAGGCTCCGGAAGGGAGAAATCTGCGAACACCCCTTCTAGGCTTTGGGTCCCCTGTGGCTGGACTGGGGACTTGCAAAGGAATTGCTGATTGCCTTAATGTGGAGACTCCTCAGGCCCCGGCTTCAGCTCCAGGGAAACGGAAACCTGCTTCAGGTGACAGATCCGGGGGGTGAGGTCAGAGAAGGTGACTGCCCCAGGTCACACTGCAGGCCATCCCGGGTATTCCTTCCTTTGGCACCCAGCCACTCACCACCTCGTCCGTGCCAGGGCCCGGGAAACGGGGCAAGCGCACCCGGCCCTCGGCTCCGAGGTCACCGCCTGGTACGAGAGACCCGCACAGCGGGAAAGGGGCTCGTGCGAGGCGCATCTCCCGCGCATCTATTCTGAGTGGGGGAGGCCTCCCAAAGGGGGCTCAAAATGCACAGAAGGCAGAAGGTCCAACAGGAACAGTTTCGTGGTGGGGTGACGTTGCCGGGATAGGATAACGGCTAGAGCCGGAGTTAGGAACAGGGGATCAAGGCTTCCATGCCGACCCAGCCTGTGCGGGGACCTAGCCACGGGCCTCGGGGTGTAATGGCAGGTACAAGAGAGCAATGACAATCGGTCCAGCAGGCCCTTGGGAGCACTGCCTGCCTGCCGGGAGCTCGACAGGCTTGTCAGCCCCACTTTACCCAGAGGCCCAGAGAGGTTCACTAAATTCCCAGGGTCACACAGCAAGTACGAGTTAGGGCCAGGACGGGAACCAGGCAGCCTGATCACAGATCCCAGACCCCTGACTCCATCGGTAATTGCTGGATGAGGGAATGGTGGCTAAGGACTTGATGCCGGTTTCCAGGCTCGCTCAGTCTGCTGACACGCTTTGGCAGGACAATTCCCAGCCCCGTCTTACAGATGAGGACAACGGACCCCAGAGACGTCCAGACAGGAGCCCCAGGCCACGTGGTGGTGAGCAGGGGCCAGGAACGTGAGCCTGGCTGTGTGGTTCCAAACCCACACTGCTGGCTACTAGCCCACCCCCCACCCCAACCTGGGGCCTGACGGCGGCCGTCCATGCCTGTGCTGCGAGGAGGGGGCACGGGGCGCTCGGGCACGGACTGCACAGGGCCGTGCGGGCTCGGGAGAGGAGAGGGGGTGTGGCCGACTGCCTTCTGCTGTGGCTGCAGAGGGAGCTGAAGAGTGGGCACTCGGAAGCAGGGGCAGCAGGGCTGGGTTCATGCCCAGACAGGCCAGAGGGGACACGTGGTCAGGGATGGCCACGGTTCTTACTGGGGGGTCAGGTGGCATTCACCAAGACAGGAGGAAGGAAACAGAAGTGTTGGTGGAGAATGGAAGATGGATGCAGGGTAGACAGTGAGGGGCCTCTGATACCTCCTGGTGGAGGTCAGTCTGCAGGCTGGGAAGGGGGCTGGAGACACAGGTGGAGAGGTCAGCTGGGGGCAGAGGAAGGAGGAGGGGGAGGAGGGTAGAGGGAGGAGGGAGTAGGAAGAAGTAGGGGGGAGGAAGGCAGAGGGGAGATGAGGGAGGAAGAGAGAGGAGGGAAGAGGAGAACAGAGGGGGTAGGAAGAGGGAGGAGGGAGGAAGAGGGAGGAGGACAGAGGAGGGAGGAGGGTAGAGGAGGGAGGAAGAGGAGGGAGGAGAGGAAGGAGGGAGAAGGAGGGAGGAGGAAAAGAG